CGCGCTGAGCCACACCTAGTTACCTACTTGACAGCATCACATGACTGGACCTGATTTTTTTTGACATTTTTGCAGCAGTTGTTAAGCAAGCACTACAATTGTGAAGCAAACACCATGGTTGTTAAGTGAATTCATTTTCCCCACAGGCATTTTTTTGCTGGAAACTGGAATTAAATTCCAGAAACTGGCAAAGAATGTCACAAATCACAGTCGATAATCACAAGATGCCACAAACAACCACAAGGTGAGCTGAATGCCCAAAATGCAGTCATGTGACTGTGTGTGTGTGTTTGTGTGCAGCTATTGTAATTTCAAAACCAGGTCATAACTAGTTTTTTTGGGGGGTGGGGGGTGTCTGTTGTAACTTTGACTAGTTGGTAAGTGATGAATACAGTAACTGTATTAGTAATAAATCAAAGCAAGAACAAGGAAAAACAGTGCAATTAATTATTGCCTGTTAATAGCTTCATCTGGACACTTAAAAATAGTTATTGTGTCCCAGGTTTTATACACTATATACAATTACTTTCATTTATACTATATTATAGTGGGGAGTTAAGGAATTGAAAGGGAACAGAGGAAGAACCACAGGCTTTTTTTAAAAGCCTTTTTGGCTTTGAGGTTCATAGATTTTTATAGCTGGAAGTTTGGGGATCATCTGGTCCTCCAACTTTGTGTCCTCCAGATGTGTTGTATTGTATAGTAGCTCTTGGATGTTCCAGGCAGTATGGCAAAAAACTATGCTGCTCTGAAGCCCTGTGAGTTTTAATCCTAGCACATCTGTAGTCCATTTGGATTGGGAAAAGGCTATTTTAGGCCAAATATAGCACCGTGTAGAATCTACAACATAGGTTGTAAAAACACTTTCCTGACAGATGGGCATTCAACCTCCATTTAACTAGTTCTAATGAAGGAGAACCTAACATTTTCTGATTTGTTCCACCATCCTCTGGCTCTTAATATGAGATCAATTCTTCTGACATATGACAAAAACCCATTTCCTGCAGTTCCTACCCGTTGGCTCATTTTCTTGTAATCAATATTTGTACATGCATAGTGCAAAAACTGTTGGCTTCTTGGACTGTTGATGCTTAATCTTTTAAAGGGTCCCCTTATACTTTCCAGTTATGACATGTGATACAACAGAACATCATTGAGTCTCTGATTTAAACAAAGAGTGACCAGGATCTTGTTTGGTAAGGTAAAGCACCTACATGAAGATGAGGATAAATTCTTTCTACAATAATATATGAGGCTATTCCTGTCTTCTATCCTTTGCAAAGAAGAAATCTGTAATTTGTATTCTTTTCACTCTCTTCCCACATTTTAAGAGATGGTTAACCTTAAGTGTAATTCTGTTGGAAGAATAGTCATTAAATGCATAAAGAATAAACACATTAATGACCATCTGTTCTAGTCCCATCTATTTATCTCCTGACCCGACCTCCTTTTCGGATTGAGCCCAACATATTCCTCAAAGCCAAGTGTGGTTTTTATTCCCCTTAAAGCTTGCACATCCTTGGCATAAAATATGTCAGCATGTTCTAGAGTAGGGTGGGGGAAAGAGGAAAGATCATTTCAGTGTTGCATTTTAAGTACAGTTCTTAGTTGTAAACTTTCATTCTGGATGTGCATTTGGTGCCCAGATGGTAAAGGCACAGAACAGAGCCCACCATGCTGTCAGGGCAGACGGGCGCCTATGTAAATATTGTGCTTTCCCCCTATAATATTTGCCTTTCTCTAATCTAATTGCTGTCAAAGGCAGAATGTTAGGAGCATGCAAGGAAAGCAAACAATGAACACCTCTGGTAACTTGGGAAGTTGTGAACCCGCCTATGTTGTTAGTAACTAGTAATTTAGTTGCAAAATGCTTGACTCATCCTCCGATATTTCTGGTGCATTCATGCCAAGTGCTGTTTTAGGACCTAACAGTTCTCTAAAAATTGTTGGATAAAGAGAAATGGTGAAAAATAAAATCATGATGAATCAAATATCATATGCCAAGATCACTTACAGAATCATGTTCAGAAAATTCAGGTGATGTACCTTGCTACCAGCATACATTCATCAAATGTATGATTTTGATTTTAATAGATTCTTTAATTTTAAAAAGAAAACCAGCATGTGGTCAAACAAAGCATGAGTGTCTCCACCAAATTACTGAAATTAAGTTTAAGTTTAAATTATTGTTATATTTACTGTGGATGTTTTAATTCTGCATTTCCCATTGAACTGTGGATGGATGTTTTAAATGTTAGTTTGTAAACCACTGAAACTCTTGGCACTGAGCTGTATTCAAGTGCAATAAACAAGTAAATAAAAACATTTTGTCCCCAAAAATGCCCTAAATCTCATAATGTCCTCATGGATATTGTTATCTAGGAAATAAAAATGATGGGTGACTATAATCCAGTGTTTTGTTTGAAAGTGTGCCCAGTTATTAGCTATTATATCTGTGTTGCAGATATAATACAAAGGATCACAAAAGAGCAGCAAAGTGATACTGAGTAGCTAGTGGCTATCTGGATTTCTACAGTCCAAATAGGGTAGATCTGTCAATTGTACTAGAGCAGCGGTTCTCAACCTGTGGGTCGGGACCCCATTTGGGGTCGAACGACCATTTCACGGGGGTCGCCAAACAACGCAGTCCGCCATTTTTTTCCCCTTTTCCTTAGCTGTGCTACTCCCTTTTATTCTATTGCAATGGTTCTCAACCTGTGGGTCGGGACCCCATTTGGGGTCGAACGACCATTTCATGGGGGTCGCCAAACCATGCTGTCCACCATTTTATTCCCTTTTCCCTAGCTGTCCTACTCCCTCTTATTGGTGGCCACACCTACTTGGGGGTCACCACAACATGGGGAACTGTATTATGGGGTCACGGCATTAGAAAGGTTGAGAACCACTGTTCTATTGGCTGTTGAAAGCCAATAGAATAGACTCTCTTGAATAGAGTCTAATTCTATTGGCTTTCAAAAGCCAATAGGAAGTGTCCAGGCTGTCTCTGCCCTGCTGAGCCCACCAAAAGTCCCATTCTGCAAACGGTGCTGCACCAGTTGAGTAGTCCTCAACTTACGACTGGTTGAGTAGTCCTCGACTTACGACTGGTTGGGGGTCGCGGCATTAAAAAGGTTGAGAACCACTGTACTAGAGAGAGAAATGGAGAAAGTGAGTCAATTGGGATAATAAAAAGTATCTTGAATATGAGGTTGGGTTGGGGCTTAGGATAATTTGCTTTCTTGTTAAGGGATATTTCTTAGGTTATATCTGAGCTGCAGATGATCACTAGATGAAAGGAACACTGTTTTCTTTACCCCTTTGTTGCCAGCTAGTTAAATCATCCATGGTTTTGTAGCCCAGCTGTGGTGGTAATATTTCATGATGTGCAATGCCTGCTGTGGCAAAGATTTTGTGAAAACGCTACTCTGCCCCATGTAACAGCCATGGGAAGGATCTCATTGCCAGTTTCAAAATTTGAGATTGTAGCTATGGACCCTTGAGTTCTGCAATGATAATTTGCTTCTCTTCTACACTTGGTATATTCAGTTATGGGTCTTTTAGAGAGATCACTGGCAATCTAGAGTATATTTAGAGAAAAACAACAACAATGAGGTCTGGTAACCAAATCTCAGATCCCAGGAGGAAATCTAGAAGTATGTTTACCTCGGGCAGAAGAAGATTAAGGAGAAATAGCAGTTGAAAAGATTTCTACTCCAGAGACAAGGACTAAAATTCCAGGAGTGAAAATTGGACGGAAGCAATCTATAGCTAAAAGGGCAGTTTGGGAATCATTAGCAAAAACTACAGTTTCTCAGTCTCAGTCCTGTCTGTGCAAAATGAGGAAATAATGAAAATCTATTTAGGGATGTAATCCGATTAGGTAGCATTTATTTATTAATCATAAGGATGATTTTGATTTGTATACAAATGGATCTAGGAATTTACTTTTTATTTACTTAAGGATTCACTTCATTTGCCTGTGGTTAAAAATTATATTAGTAAGGCAAGAAGCTACATTTTCATGACATCAAAAAGTTTCTGTCTGAGCCGTCTCTCTTAATTTGCCTGTATCTGTCAAGCCTTATTCTACCTTTCTATTCTGTTCTGTCCTGTCCTGTCCTATCCTATCCTATCCTATCCTATCCTATCCTATCCTATCCTATCCTATCCTATCCTATCCTATCCTATCATTGGCATCAGGACCTTTGTGTCTTCTGTAGTTTGAGGACCACCAGCACTGTTTAATAGATATATTTGTTAATATTAATGGTGGATAGAAATTTCTCCATCAAAGAGGAAATTGGGTGGATGATGTCTCCACATTTCTCTAAGGGAAGGATAAATTCACAGAACTTTGTCAAAAAATATGATGATGATGTTATCCATTCAGTCATGTCCAACTCTTGGCAATTCTATGAGTCAAGTTTCTCTACATCTTCCAATCTTACACCACTTCTTTTGAGTTTTTGTATGTTCTGGCTGGTGTCAACTTTGATGGTGTCCAGGTCAAGGGTGTATTCCTTCTTAATGGTGATGGCAGCATTGCCAATGAAAGAACCCAATGGGAAAAATTCCCTTATAATAAATTACTTGAGGAATGATCTTGTATGGAGGTTCTAGCAGTATACCTTTCCCTGAAGAACAGTATATCTTTCTAACTGGGACAGCCATCCTCGTCCACTGAGCTGCAGCTTTGGGAGGGACATACATAAAGCAGTAAGAAAGGAAGAGGGCACCCATCTCTCCAGCCAAATTAACTGAATCAACTCTGGCAATCAATGGAGACAACTTGGGGATTTAATAAAAATATGAGGCTGTAAAAGATTTGTGTAGTGAAAGACAGAATATTCAGATAGATCTCTTGCCCATTTTGTATCCAAGTAAACTGTTTGCAATATCCTTAATAATGCTTCATACTGATCTGATGTAACACTTCATTTAACAAAATAGAATTATTGTGGCATCAGTCATATTATGTTTTCCATAATTTGTTTTTGCAGGAGCCATTGACCAATGTTCATACATCAAGTACCACTACTCCTCAGCAACCATTCCCAAGAATCTAACCTACAACATTACTAAGACCATCCGTCAAGATGAATGGCATGCTTTACGTAAGTCTCTCACCTCTTTCCTTCTCCTCCCAGTATGGAATATTGATTTCAAATTGTGCAGGTTGGAAAAATATGGAAAAACCCACATTTCCTTTCACTTCTGAACAACTCTGCTGATTTTGTGCCTGTGCTAGAAACATTGCAACCAAGTATAATGATATGTTCAGTCCTGTTAAGTTATAAGTGTCATGTTGCATGATGATATGCATACTTCTGGTTCTGTCATTTGTTTAGCATTTTCACTGCTTTGTATTTGTGATGGTATGGTAAATTTTACAACCAAATTCCTCTTGGTGCATGAGAGGGAACCTTCAGAGTTAGCTATGCAGCCTTCAATTTGCTGAAGTTGCCATGGGCAGATCCACTTTTAGCATGGAAACATGATCTTCCAGATAGTCTGATCTGTATATAGATTACATGAAACTGGTCTTTTGATGTCTTGTTGTATGGCAGAAATTGTAGAGTTGTGTGGATTGAAGAAATAGTTTCATTTTTCTTCCCTTTTCTTTTTCTGATACATACTGGTGAAGGGTTTGGCTATGATTGTCTAGGTAGGTTTATAATTGACCTCAAGAGTCAGAACATCACCCTGATTTCTCTGGCTTGTGCTTATGAAGTCCTTCCTTCTTTCATCTGAAACTTTGCCCCACACTCAATCCAAAATTTCCCTTCTTTTTGCCGTGGGTAGTACATAGAAGACTACCAGGACTCTGGCTGATCTTCACTATAGCCAGTGGACTGAACAGTCTCTGAAGCAATCATAATTGATAGGGAAACAGTTGCCTTGAGGCAGATGGCTGACACTGGACTTGTGGGAAAATGTGGGTGGGGAAAAAAGAAAAGGAAAATGGATATTCAGAGGCAAGATACCCATTTGCTCATGTCCCTGTGGTGGCAAAGTTGTAATAGTTCTTTCTCATTTCTGTGCATAATAATGGATTTCTTGGGTCTTTAAGCAGAAACTTTTAAAAGAGAGTTACTGATATGGTTTCTTAATTAAATTTGAATGATGTCAAGGAACACCAAATGACCTTGGATAAGCAGAAAGTCATGGGAAAAGATAAACACATAAAAACTGGAGGAACTGTTTACAGCAGCTTTCCTCAGGCTGGATAACCTCCAAGTGTGTGGAATTTAACTGCCAAAATTTTCAGCTGGCTGGAGAATCTTGGGAGTTGACTTCCAAATATAGGGAGGGTACTCAGACTAGAGAAAATTGGCCTACAATTGTTTGAGAAAATGAATATAACACCCATTGATCTTTTTAAAAGGAAGAGAATAAAACATAGGGATAGTTTTCACATGAAACACCTTAATAGGGAAATTGGGTATAAAATAAGGGCTCCAAATACATTTTAGGGAGGCTGGAAATTCATGCTGAAAGATCTCAAAAGTCTACTTTTACTGCTTAGCTAATGTTATTCCACTATTATGCTCCCCATTCTAAGCGGAGGTCTGGCTCAGGTTTGGGACAATTTGGGGTTGCAGGACATTAGCCCCCCTGCCCTTATTTGCTTCGGATTAAGTAGGGGACCAAGTTGTATAAGACTGAGTTACATGTTTTATAAACCATCTGTGGTCTCTCTTGCATAAAACAAACAGTTTACAGTAAACTGAATTATTCTTTTGTAGATTCGCTTCAAGATGGAAATAGTTCTCTCAGATTGCATCTTGCATCCATTTTGTAGCTTGTTGTTTTCTCCAATAAATAATTAATAACACACTTAAGTTCTTTTCCTTTTGTAGGTGCTATGGATGCTATATACTCTATTCCAAATGTCTGTGTTATATTAACATAGAGTATTTCTGTTCATCCTTAGAGAAAGGTGGATCACGAATAGGGATAATTCTTTTAATTTAAATTACATTTTAGGTGAGTTTATGAATATCATATTCAATAGCTGCATTCTCACGACCCAGTCATACTTGTTTATGATGAATGGGCAGTTATATGGCAGCCATTTGTTTAGCCCTTCCATTCACTGTAAAGGGGGCTGGAAGGCTCTGGGCTTTTTCCCCTTTGTGGGGATCTTAGAACCCTTTTCCTTTTGCCCTCCCCCCCAATGTGGCTGCAGGGTGAAAATTCCTCTAGCTGGCAATCCTAGAGAGATCCTGTTTTCATCTGGATTCTAGGACTATTTCTCATTCTTGGGAATGAAGAGGATCTTCAAACTCCTGAGTAAATCCTTGGTTTACACAATATGCAGGAGTTAATAACTCAAAGGGAGTTAATTTAGTCCCATACTGCACATAACTATTGGGAGTTAAATTTGTCTCTCATGGATTAGAGGTTGTTTATGGGATTGGAGAGTTACAAAATACACTTACCCCTCTCTGTGACCTAGGGAAGCATATGGAAACAGGACCAATTTCTCCTTTTTTTTTTTTAAAAAAAAAAGATGTTCTTTCCTAGTCATGTTCTTCAATCATCATAAGAAGATTCACCCTTTCCCCTTTATTTGTTAAAATGCAGAAAGGAAGGGCTTTGTATTGGTCCAGACAGGTGAGTAGTCCTTACCAAATACTTGTTGACATCCATGTGAAGCTGCACTCATGGAGCTTGAAGTTCTAGTCCATCCCTTTGCCAAGGGCAGGAAGCCTCATACCATCCCATGTATGCATAAAGACTTCCCATGATGTGTAGATTTATGTGCACATATTACTATACCTCTAGGGTAAAGAGAATGAGATTATTTTCATCTGTGTCAGTTTGCTCTATGTTCATTTATAATTCCCTTCCATCCCTTTTCCACATGAATCTATGCCTTCTTTATTTTAATGCACATTAAATTAAAGAATAATGCACAATTTGCCCTAGATAATGCATTTCAGTGCATTTTATTCAAAGAAACAAAACATCCTTGTGTGCAAGTTTATGCAAACATCGTATATAACTTGAGCCAAGATCTGAGTCACAACATTTGGAGAGATGTTAAAATGAAAGGTTAATTATGTTCCTACCCATGTATTAGTCTACTCTAGGAAGTGCAAATTAAACTGGTTTGCTTAAAAAATGCTTGCTGGCTGAAATTCTAGACTATCCTTAGTCTAGACTCTAGGGCCGTTCCACATTCCATATGCCAAATTCATGGCAGAAGGACATGAGTGAAATGGTATATCCCTACCATTCAACACATATGAAAACATGGTATTTGTTGAGTCCTTCGCGAAATGGCAAGACACGAGAAGCAGTTGTAGTTCTCAGGAAACTTCTTTATTCATGTGTTCAGCTTACAGTTAGAAGACGCCGACAACACCCAAAACTCCTGGCCTCTTATATAGGCCATCCCCGGGTAAATCTGCAACTTTTGGCGCGCCAGTACTTGTGCATGCGCACAAGTACTGGCGACAGCCTGTCTGGTCCCGGGCAGCTTGCACCTGCCGGAACCGTTTGCAATGCCCCAAGCCTGCTTGCACAGGCTCAGGACATAACAGTATTAATCCCTGGCAGCTTTTTTTCAGTAGCGGTCAAGGGAGATGAATGAGGAATGTCTTACGTTACTCTGGATTTTTTATATTACTCTAAATTCTATTACAGGTAATTCTCAACTTACAACCATTCATTTAGTGATCATTTGGCAGTACAGCAGCAGTGAAAAAAATGACTTATGACTGTTTTTCACACTTACAGCCATTGTAGCATCCTCATGATCACATGATCAAAATTTGGGTGTTTGGCAGCTGAGAAGCAGGCAGTCCCGAGATCATGTGATCACCCTTTGTAACCTTCCCAGCTGGCTTCCAACAGGCAAAGTCAACGGGAGAAGCCAGACTTGCTTAATGACTGCATGATTCACTTAACTGCAGTGATTTGCTTAACAACTGTGGCAGAAACGATTGTAAAAGCAAACAAAACTCACTTAACAACTGCTTTGCTTAGCAGTGGAAATTTTGGGCAGAATGGTGGTTGTAACTCGAGGGCTACCTGAATTTGAAGTGTGGTGTGACACAGGAAAGTCATGAGTTTTGCTGCCAGTGTAAGAAAAAGTCGAAAGACAAATATAAATTAATTTGGGAGCGTATGTTCCTTGGGTTAATAGTTGACTAAAAGGATAATTGTTAAGCATAGAAATGAGTTAATTGTATATAAGTGATAATGTAAATAAAACATTTAATGAGATTATGCATAATTGCAAATGTAACTTCAATTGATATTTTGCATTGCAAATAGAGTTCCTCACCAAACAGTTCACAAATAGGCTTGATGCACATCATTGATTTACTTTTTGCATTTCATTTGTTCCGGATTCTTTCAGCTAGACCACCTTGAAAATAAGCAAAGTTAAAATGCATCTAAAACTTTAGATATGCAAAAGCTGAAACGGTGCCTGCTTTCTAATATTTTGGTAAATTGAAAATTGTGATAAAGTAACTTTTCCCCTTCCCGGTACTTTAAAGTGTCATTTTTTTTCTTAGTGCCTGGATGTTTTTGTCCTCTCTTGCTGGAGATTCTATGTTATCCTGTTTTGCTAGTGTATTACTTAATCCTACACATCAGAGTTCCCCAACTGGGTGGGCAGCCTGGAGCAGGGGGAGGGGGAAATGAAGGGATGGTTTTGTGGGGCGGGCGACTGCATACATGCATGCACATGCATGTACACCCATTGCTTGCATATGTGGGGCCGTGAGTGCTTGCGTGTGTGGGGCTATGAGCACCCGTGACACTTGTGGCAGTACTTGTGTGATTAAATTCTAAATTCCATTGAATTGTGTAAAGTTTGTTCCCAAGTAGATGTGGTTAGAAATGCAAGCGTGAATTGTGGCCTTGAACAAATTCTTGGTGTTCAGTAGACATTATTCCCTTGTGAGCGTACTGTCCTATGTTTAAACATATTTGGGATTTTGCTTCAAGATTTCTTTATTTTGAGGAGCAGAAATGGGTGAAGTCTTGTTTTAGTAATGAAAAATATTGTTTGCTTTATCTATCAGTATAAGCAAATTTATAAATCTGGACATGCAGGCATTGTTGGAGTTTCAGTAGAATTGCTGACATTATTGTG